TTGATTTCCTTGGAGTGCCCTGATGCGACCCTGATGTGTAGTGTTCTCATCTTTGGGATTTGTATTTTATAACACACGCTGAGGGAGTTCTGTAATCTCCTGTTTCTGTGACTTGGGGATGTTCTGTGGCTATGGGCATAAAGAAAACTTTCCTGAGCAGGAACCTTTACTGTTCCTTGCCTTCTGGCAGATAAAGGATTGAATAAATCTAGACAGTTCTGACCTTTTTGGAGGAGAGAGGGAATGTTGCTCAAAGGTATGTAGTATTTTGATTTTTTTGGCCTTTACAGTTTCAGTAGTCCTCAGTATAAAGCCTAGAGAAGGAGACAAACCCACATGTCTTTCTGTTGTTCTCTTCTGTCTGTGAATATGTAGCTCCTGGTAGCATAGAACTTGCTGGAGATACATGGGACTCTGTCCGAAATGCACCTGTTGGATCTTTAGATGTGTTGCACTTTGGATCTCTAAATATGCCTTGCATTTATTTGCCAAAAGAATGCCTCTTGCATTTATTTAGAGTGATAGGTAAAGGAGAATAACAATACCTTGTCTTTTGTCTTGCACGGCTGAGTTAATGGTAGCTTGCTCCAAGTTCTACAACATCAGGCATGCTGAATTCAGTTGTGTTGTGTTGTGTTGTTTCTTGCGTGATGCTGGATCAGAAGTGCTCAGCTGGAGTGCGAGCTGTTAGAGGAACACTTGTGAGGCCCTTGCCAGCTTGGCTCTGACAGGATGATCCGTGTGAACACTCGTCCCCGTCTTCAGCTGCGTGCAGCAAAGGGCTTGGTAACAGTGCAGCATCTCATCATCTTCCATTATGCTCATGTTTCCATAAACGTTATTTGAAATGGTTGCACAAATTAACCAGCATTTTTGCCCCTTCATAGGAAGCAAAGGTTGGTTCCTGTTGGATCGGGCTCCAGTATTGAATGGGAACGACTGGTTTTGCCTGTGTATTCCATATAGCTCACGAAGCATGAGTTTGTTTGGGGCTGGTCAACGTTTTCTTCCTAATGTAAACACAAGCAGTTCCCACAGAAGTGGCAGTTAATAGCACTGCCCAGCATACAGAGGCTTTGTGTTTTCAGGTGCATAACATTCTTGCTGCCCTGTTGTGGAGTTCTAAAGTTCTATTTTCTTCTCTATAGCAAAGGAGAATCTACCGTGTTCAGGGCTCATACAGGAACTGTAAGAAGCGTTCATTTCTCCAGCGATGGCCAGTCCTTAGTTACAGCTTCTGATGACAAGACAGTCAAAGTGTGGACGGTACACAGGCAGAAGTTTCTGTTCTCACTCAGCCAACACATAAACTGGGTTCGCTGTGCCAGGTAAGGACAGCTTTCTGACAAACAGGTGGGGATTTGTCCCTCAAGGCAGAGACTGAGTGTGGTGGTCTTGTCACACGCTTCTGTTCAGGATGATTGAGGTGTCTCTGGTGACTGCAGTGTGTTGCCAGCCTGCAGAGAGATGATAGCTGTGTACTGCTTTGTGTTTCTTCAGCCATCTTGCTCAAGCAGAGACTTTCCTGCTTAGTGATTTGTTCTGTGTTTTGCTTTTACTTGGGGTGGAGACTTCTGCATCTTGAAGTTGCTAACAGAGGCAAAAGGAGAGATTTATACTGTTACTTCAGCTTAGTTACTTTTAGGCTTGTCGTGCCTCTAGTTAAAAATGATCCCCTGTGCTCGTTTCAAAGTGCTGCCATAATAAAACCATGATTTCCTGATAACTGTCTCAAATTTGGGTTTCAGTTGCCTATTTCAGTTGCTCTGATGAGTTTTTATGTATATATGCACCTAGGATAAAGCCACAGTTTCTGTTTAGGTGAGAAGTTCATTATAGTTTTTGCATGTGGTGGTGGCAGTGACTGGTGGTACTATAGATGCCCACAACGGAGCAGAAAGAATATTTTTCCAGTATGTATGATGAAGTTCTCTGGTAGGGACTCAAGTCCTGATCCTGTGACATGTATGCTTCTGGGGGGAGAGATTAATCTGTCTTGTATATGAAATTTTGAGATAGGAACTTAATACATTCATCCAAGACACTCAAATGGTGAAGCTTCTCCTGATGCAGCTGTTAGCTTGGGAGTAATTGTTTGCTCTGAATGTTTGTGGCAAAGGTAGGATTGGTTTTGAATGGGGGTAGAGAAACAACTTGAGATACACTTAAATTGAAGCAGGTGGGACAGGAGAACTTATGTCAGACTCAAGACTTTTCCTGAGGGTTGTTTTATGTGCTTACACAGTTGGGGCTAGTTGGAGGACTTGGGGCTTGTCTTTTTTCCCCTCAATGTACAATGACTGGGACTTTAGTCTCCCTCATGCCAGTGTGACTTCTTGAAGAGCAAGGCGCGTTTACCAACATATCTTGTCACCTGGGCAAATCCAGTTGACCCTGTACATGTTTTGTTTAGGGGCTTTCTTAATGGTTGTAACTCTTCTCTTAGATTCTCTCCCGATGGGCGATTGATAGCGTCAGCCAGCGATGACAAAACTGTCAAACTGTGGGATAAAACCAGCAGAGAATGTATACACTCCTTCTGTGAGCATGGGGGGTAAGTACCTAGTGGTGCACGAGGACCAACCTTCTTGTGATTTCTGAAATAGGGATGTCTGGTGAATGTACACCTTGTTTTGTGACTGCAGTCAGAGGTCCTTGTCCTGGCAATCGTTTCTATCTCTTAAAAATCATTAGCACCTCTTACAAAAGCAGCCAGCTGAGGTCGAGATGCAAAAAGAGCTTCCTTTTCAATTGCTTTGACTTTTTTCTTTTGAATTCTCCAGATTGGAGCCTTCAGGGTTATATATTGTCCAACCTGTCAAACCTTACTTTCTTTGTGCTTATTTATTTTTGGAGGTTCTTAAATACTTTTTCTTCTTCTAGCTATGTTAATCTTTTTTTTTATTTTGCTGTGAGTTGAAGTAAAAGAGCAAAAAAAAATGCTTTGTTTTGTCCTCAAATTTCTGAATAACAGGGTTATTCCACAAAACACTTTGTATTCAGAAAAACAGCTGTCAAATTGTTGGTTTGTTTTTTTGTGTGTTTTTTGTTTGTTTGTTTGTTTGTTTTTTAATGGAGAATATTGAGCTACAGCAGAAATTAATGTGTCCAGAAACACAGACCAAGTCCGTAGAGAACTGAGACTGGAATCTTCCTAACTTCTTTCTGCATTGTATTTTTAAGTACAAAGCTGTATTCTTTCAAGGTAACATATTAAGACCAATTCAGACAGAATTATTTTTTCGAGTGCTTTTAAGAATATAGCTTGTCCAAACAGTCTTTTGAAATTTCTCAACTCACTCAGCATTTGTTACAAGAATACTCAATGGATAATTAATTTTATCCAATTTCCTGTGTGGGTTGGATGAGGAGTTACAAGATGCTCTTCACTGAAGTTTCTGAAGGTTTTTCTGTACTTGTGTGTTCAAAATGAAAATTGGTTGCATACAGGTCCTGCAGTCTGCTTGGGGTTGTTAGCAAGGTCTTAAGAAAAATTCAGCAATACATATTTTCAGGTTATCTCCTCCATTCTGTAATGTTCAATGCAGCATGATGCAGCTTCCCTCTTGAAAAGACCTTTTTGATCTTTAGCAAGAGTCACATATAAATTGTGGTTAAATCCAATTGTTTCCAGGTTTGTGAATCATGTGGATTTTCATCCCAGTGGTACGTGCATTGCTGCGGCTGGTACAGATAACACAGTGAAGGTCTGGGACGTTAGGATGAATAGACTTCTTCAACATTATCAAGGCAAGTTAAGAACTTAGATAAGTTGGACCTTTCCATGTGTTGATATGAATTGCTCTGAAGTCTAAGGACTGTTTCTTCATCACCTGCTGCTTTCCCAGAAAGGCATGGGGGTTAGGTCTGTAAGTGGAAGCCTTTTTTCACCCAACATCGTGCTCTGCTTTGTGTTAGCTCCAAGACTAATTCTCATATCGGTGAGAAACAGCTCTGTTCTGATTTCTCCTCCTCTGCCCACCATCAAAAAGCAAGAGAGCCCCAATGCTGATACTGTCCTGTGTTGCAGGTATGCATAGGTGTTATCTGTGATGCCACTTGGCTCTTCTTGAGGAGATGGCGTGCAGTAAGATGGATGTGGCATTTGCTTCTGAATAAGCCTGTAAGAGTCTGATATATTCCAGTGAAGCAGGTTAAGTTCTTCATGAGAAAATGAGGAAAAGTTAATAAAGGAGGAAAATCAAAACCAGCCAGTTGCGGTTCTCTACCGTGATCCATGTTTACAAGTCCTTTTCCAGTATCTCTTTGGTTTTCAGCTTCTAGAATTAGCTTTGACCTTATTATGGCTTGTGCAGGTTGGCTTGTCCTTGGAGTAGCTAGCTTTTCTATCTAGGAGTCTAAATTTTATTTTATTTAATTTTCTTCCTTACCTTCCAAATGCCATCTCCTCCCATGACCTGTTCTTGTCGAACCGCTGAGTGCTGCTCTTTGGTAGAACTGGCAAGGAGGAGGGTGTTTGCCCATCTCTGCAAGCTTCTGTGAGGTTGATTGTCTTCTGTTGTGCATATGAGTTTCTTGAGCCTAAATTTGGCTTTTCTTTACTATTAACAATTTTTAGGGGTGCTGTAGCATTTTGTCATTCCATACATTCTCAGTCATTGATTCCAATACAGACAGCTTAGAAAACTTTAAGTTTTCTTAGTTTTTCATGAAGATTGCTCTGGCATGCTAGTAAAGCAGATCTGAGGTATGGGGCTGGAGCTTGGTGTGCTGTTCTTTCCACCATCCACATCAGATGGTGTCTTCCTGCTGTGACAGCCTCACAGCTGAATGCCAGGCAGAAAAGGCAGAGCAGTAAAATAGCTTGCAGCTGATTCCTGCTAACTTTGAAAGTTAAGAGACAAAAATTGAGTTCTAAATTAAAGTTGTTGGTCCTTCTAGCTTTATGTAACTAGAATTAGTTTTTTTGAAGTGCTTTTGACTGTACGTCCCTTTACTTACAAGGCCATGAAAGAATTTACAGGCTCTCAATACGGGTTCTTTAGTTTCCTTTGCTACAGAAAGGCAGCGAAAATGTAGCAGTGTTTAAGGAGCAGGGTTCTTGAGTTTGTCTTCCTTCACAGCAATCTGTGAAAGAATAGACCTCTTCTGATAGATAAGAGCAATGGGAGTTAATGATCTCAAAGCAAATGGAGACTGTCTGTGGAAAACTTAAGATCATGAAAGTCCTTTGGGTCCATTTAAAAAAAAAAAAAAAAAAGTGAAAGCTCCCCCAAAAGAGGTTGGTGAGGGGTAGAAAGAGTCTGTGAAAGTCAGAATGCTTTTGTAATTCCATTGTATGTAGTGGGCTGTTCTTTTGGTCTCTGTGTACAGATGGAAACACTATCATGATCATCTGATCTGTTAAGCACTGATCGTGACACCACTGTCATTGGAACAGGATTTTTTCTTGGGTAGGAAAAAAAAATAATATTCCTTATTTCAAGCATCAGCTTTCTGTTCCTGTACTGTTTTGTTCCTGGCTTGTGGGATGGTTTTCTTGAGTGTGTTCTCCCTGGGTAGTCAAACTGAGCACTCTGAATTCCTCAACTGTAACCCTGCCTGAACTCCCTGAACTTTTGTAGAATGAGCTTTATGTTTTTATTTCTTCAGTTATTCTTATGGTCTCACAATCTCTCACAGTTCTCTGGTTAACCCAATCTAATGGAAATGAAACTTTTGATGACTTGTATTGGCTCAATACCGATGAATTGGAACAATTACAATGAATACTGAAGTGTGAGTCTTTGTGTAATAAGTATTGTGAACTTGTGACCACATCAGAGCTTGGAAACACCTTTCTCAATTCTTGTTGCTAAAATACGTAGTGTGTCTAAATACTTGAACAGTATCAGATCAGCCTTTAACTTACTTATCACCCTTGCAATAGTGGCAAGATCCGCAGTGTGTGTTTCCAGCCACAGTATATCTTGGCTTAAAAATCATCTCTTCCTGCTTTCCACTTAGTGCTATTAAATTGTCTGAATCTCATGTGATTTAAATTTGGCTGGCAATTTGTTTTTTGTCTTGGAATGATGTATTTCCCCTGTATCACATCCTTACTGAATGGCGTTTTAGTCTGACCTCCTCACTATTGAAGGAATCTTTTCCTCTTATGAGTGTTATTTTTAAGAGCTACTGTGTAAATCATAGTTGTGCATTAAATATTCAACTAGAAATAGCCATAAAAGCCAAAGAAACCTAAAATTGCAGTCGTAGGTGTAGGCAGTCACTTTGTACTCCTGTGACAAACGTATCAGTTTGCAGCTACATGTTCTGGAAATTTGTTTGTGCATTCTGCTCTTCTGAGGGTTTGTGCACATGTGTTTTGGCTAAATTGGATGTAGTTTTGTGGCTCTCCCCTGCAAAGCAGCCTGTTCAGTCCCACTAGATGGCAGCTCTGCCTTCAGTACCTGCTTGTGCTGCCGGATTTCAAGGGAGTCCATTTTAAAGATTGAGTTGCATTGAGGAGTCACTAGAGAAGTAGCTCTGCCACAGACTCTTGCCTATTAAAGCTGGGTTGTTTTCCAAAACGGATGAGGCTTTTAGCAGTGTTGCTCTTATTGCCAGAACTTGTTCCAACTATGACATTTGTAAATGAAAGTTGGAAGCAGAGAGTGAACTGCAAAACCTTTTGTACAATGTGTTGGAGTTTTTTTAGGGAAGTAAAGCGTTCTGTGGTCACATTCACTGTACAAGAGAACAGACAGATGGTTCATTCAATCTCCTCCTTGGCACTGACTTTTGTTCTACAGCAGATTATCCCCCTGCGTAAAGGGTCAGTCTTTATTACCTGACATGTTTTTTTCCACTGTGCAAAGTTGTGTTTGGGGCACCTCTGTTACAGGTTTATGGAAACAGTTCTAACCTTTTTTTAGTTGCTGTTTAAAAAACAGTTGGTGCTTTTGTATGGTTCATGTAGGGTTGGATGTTGGTTATCTGTTTGCTGTGGGCTGTGACTGTGTCAAGTCCATCCTAAATGATCTTCTCACTGTTGGTTACAAAGTGGTTGCATTCACTGATTACATAAAAAGAGCGTTGTCAGACTTGTGACAGTCAAGTTCAGTCGCTCCGCAGGCTGGCATGACCCAGCGTTAGTCATCAACCCCCCCAGAATAAGTCCTGTCACTGGTGGCTGTTCTCCTAGGGCTTGGTTGGCAGAAGGGTAGGCTTTGAGCAACAAGTCACCGAGAGGTGCCACCTTGTGCTGCACCCGATTTATTGTTTACAAAATGAAATCAAGTGAGGCTGCAGGATGTGTTGGCAAGTTTTTGGAGAGCTGCTGTAAATAGTCTTTTGGGAGGTATGAGGTAGGTTGGTGCAAGAGAGATGAAGTTTTCTCTGAGCTTATGGCAGCTGAGAACTCCTTGGGCACAGAAGCTGCAATTGCTTACATGGCCACAGTCTGTGTGTTTTCTTTCCATTATGAAAAGGTTTTTTGGTGAAGCTGGAAATACTTTAGTCACTATCTGGAACCTGGAGGGTACATCATTAACTTTGTCTATTTCTGGTGTGATTCCTTTCAGGACTTGCCTTGGATGACAAAATGTGTTTGCCTTTATCTGAATATAGACACTAATGGGTTCACGAATATTACAAATCACTTGGAATAAAATTTTCAAAGGAGAAATGTATTCAGTGCTCTTTCAGGAGGAAAAACTCCACATAGACATTTTTTTCCTTTACTACGTAGTGTAATACAGGGCTGGGAGGGTAGAGGAAGATCTAGTGGTGTGATAGAAGCAGTGTTCATCGACCAGAATAAATTCTCTGAAGTCATTTGTGTTGAGGTTTTTTTCTGTGTTTTTTTAATAGTCTAGGTCAAGAGGAGTTAGGTTCTCAGAAATTAAGCTGAGGTAGCTAACCTTCTTGAGAATTTCAAAAGTAGATGCATTCTGTTTTATATTTAAGCAAGGTTATTTCAGATTTCTGCTCCAAATCTACATCTAAAAAAAAAAAATACTATTTGGTTCCAGTGTCTTTAAAGCTGTATTTTGATTTTTTTTTTTTAACATGCAGTATGAACTTGAAACGCACAGCAGATAATCATAGGAATATGAATTTAGTTAGGGGGGATGTATTGGTAGTAGTAGAGATGAGATACTAGAACATTTGGAGGGCATATAATATCATTAAGAATAATTGGGTAGTTAAAACCCTCTTCAAGGACAGTCTGAATATTCTGTAATGTCACGTATGCTCAGAAAGCTGTGCATGTGTAAAGTACTGCATGTTCTCATAAATAAATATGTTCAATAGCCTGTTTTGTAAAAGTTCAGGGAGGGGAAAAAACACCCTGAGTTAGGTAAATGTTTAATGTTACAATGAAATTAGCGTAGTTTGGTATTTTTCCTAGAATGTTTTCTTTAGCTCTTTTCAAAATAACTCTAGGTTTCATCTTTGTGCAGGAAGGATTGCTCTATTGGAAGTTCACATGCTTCATAGCTTGTCTATTCATACTTTGTTTAAATTTTTGATGAAATAAGTTGGATATCTGAAGAAATAATACTTACTTTGGATGGACCGCTGTCAAGTTGCTGGTGCTTCTTTCCTAGTTTCTCTTAAACCCAGGCTTGGTTAGAGTTTGGTTGTAAACTGAAGAACCTTTTCAATGCCAGCTTTGAAATTTTGTCTTTCAAATTTTGTCTTTCATTGTAATTTCAGTCTTCTACTTAATGTACTACCATACAGATTTTATTTTAGAATGACTTGGGAGCAAGAACAGCAGCTCCAAGGTAGTAAAATACATGAATGTCCAGCTCTCTCACAGAATTGTATAGCCCACTTGTGCATATTGTTACATTTTTGGCACTATGCTGGAAGCTTTTGTAGCCTTAAATCTCCCAGAATAATTGGCAAAGCTTCCTTTTTCCTTTCAATTAAGTAATGCCTATTTTTACAAGAATTGAGTACTGCCCTTGTTCTCCAGTGCACTGAAAAATTTTTGTGGAATGGTTCCCCCGGGATAATTTTCCTGTTAAACTTTATAACAGAAAATTGGAATGTGCTCGTACTTTATTTTATTCTTATGTAAACTGGTCTTGGTGACTATTATATACGTTTTTTCCATCCTTAGTGCACAGTGCTGTGGTAAACAGTCTTTCTTTTCACCCCTCTGGAAACTATCTGGTTACTGCCTCCAATGATTCAACTCTTAAAATTCTGGATTTGCTAGAAGGAAGACTTCTGTATACTCTTCATGGTCACCAGGTGAGGCAAAGCCTTTTATACGGTAATGTGCAAACCTATAACAAACTGGGCAAATCTGTGCTTGAGCCTTTCAGTCTTCATGGCCAAAAATGTTTTGAAAGCTTCCTTGTGTAAATTTACAATGATAGTACTACTAATAATCTTAGAGATCATCAGTTTTTTGGATAGAAGGAGGTACGAGAGGAACAGGAAGGATGAGAAAGTAAGGCAGAAAGGGAGCTCCAGTGTTGAGGATGCAAGTCTGAGACCTAAAGGGCACAGTCAGAGCTGCACTCTAGACTACTCCTGGGTCTCTTGTTCACACTCAGTACCACAGCTCTGACTGTCTCCCTCTCTAGAGTGGCACAAATAACACTACATAGGTGTTGAGAGGGTAAATGCTATTCATCTGACAGGAGACTTGAAGACAGCAGTAGTAAAACAGAGGGAATATAATTTGGGATGTGATTTGGGAACGTTTCCATTTTGATGGGCTGAATTAAATAATTGAAGGTGATAAATGCTTTGTGTTGGTTAAATTTAATTGATTGGCCTGTTAGTATTATGCTGCTGGGTGTGTTTCTTCTGAGGTTAATGATATGAATGCTTGAAGCTCTCCTTTTTAAATGTTAAATGAAAATAGATAGACTCATTTCATTGTCCATGCTGAGTGGGGCTCAAAGGCATGAAAAAGCAGACCTGCTTTAAAGGTTTCTTTTCCAAAGGGGCAGAGAGGACAGGAATTCCTAATCCACTTGTGCCTCTGTTAAAATGGGAGCAGAGTCTTAAAGCATCAGAACTAGCTGGGAAAAACCACAGCCTGATGCCGTTGGGGGTGGTGGGAATGGTTCTGGGTAGTGATGGTAGCTCTGATGGCTACAAAACTGATAATTCTGCTTTCTTGTGGCTTTGTTTAGTGACTGCTGTGTCTGATGTCTAAAAAGGTTAATTTGTTCTGTAACTTATTTTGTTGTGTATTAGTAAACTTTTTGCCTTTTTTGTAATATTAATGGAAAAATATGACGTCATACTTAAGTCTCTACTTCATGGAAAGATCCGATAAAAACTGACCAAAGGGTTTGTATGCTGAGAAGAATGGGGGCAAGATAACAAATACTGGTAATATTAACATGTAAACCCTGACTGCATAAAACATTCTTATTTGAAAACTGGAATGAGTGGATACTCCTACCAGATAAGGGCTGCAAGCTTCTAACTGTTGTTTTCATCTTATTTTCATCCTTGTCTTTTGGGTTAATTTGCCAAGTGAGTTCTTGCAAAGTAGCTTTCTGGAAGTGTAGAAGGACAGTGGATCTTTAGACCTTTCATCCTTCCCTTGGTCAGGGATGTGCCTTG